GCCTCTTTTGCCAATACATCATATCACCCTGTTCAAATCAACATCCCTCACCCGGACCACCCCAACAGACCCGCGAGGCATTGATCATGTATTGACTATAGCTAAAACTACTACAGTCAATAATTGCTCAATAAACCTTTGAGAGCCCCCATAACTCAGCAATTCAACCCCTAGCAATAAAAATCATAGACAAGATACCTCCCAGAAAATCAACTACCCTCTCGACCTACTACTAATTCATTTGGTACCCTTCTTTTCCTGCGGCAATCATTCAAGCATGCTACTGGATTAAGGAACCAATCCGATAACGTGAAGGCATACCTGTCATTTCTTGCTCTAATCCATATGAAAGACCTTAGTTGAATTAATTCAAACAGCTTCCCCGCATTTATCTCTTTGTGCTGGAATAATTTCTGATTACGAGCAAGCCACACTGTCCACACCACCGTACTCCATATACAATCCCATCCTTGTCTTGTCCGTGTTCCTTTACTCCATTCTCCAAAATTTTCAAATGTCTTCAAGCAATCGATGTCAATTTTAGCCTCTGCCCCCCACCATTTGGCACATGCCTCCCACAGCCATTGGGTCATCCTGCACCTTAGGAATAAATGGGCTGCGTCCTCCTCATGTTCTTCACATACAACGCACTTGCTCTCCTCCATGTCTTTAATAACCCCCCTTTTCAGCAAGTTCATCTTGGTTGGTATTCTATCTAGCACTAGTTGCCAATTGAATGCCGAAACTTTGGTCGGGAGACTTGGATTCCATACTCTCTTGAATATTGAATGCCCACATGTCCCGCTATGGTCCGGTGCTAATATGTGGTATGTTGATTTCGATGAGTAGTGTCCCTCCTTGTCGTGAATCCATTCCCATTTGTCGGGCCAGCCGGGATTAACCTTTACGCCCTCTATCATCCTTTCGAGATCCATGACCTCTTCCGCTACTCATCTGTTCTTAAAATGCAAAATTGCAAGGTGGATATGGAAGGCTTGCTCTAAGTGGTGGGGGTCAAAGATGATGGTGAACAGAGACTGCTGGAACACGTTTCAACTCCTCGGGATGAATACCAAAGGATCAAAAACCAGAGAAGGCATGGATAGCATCTGGAAAACAGCCGTTTGGTCCATTTGGATTGCTAGAAACCAGAAAATCTTCCATAGTAAAGAGGTAAATCCTAATACACTCTTAGAACTTATACAAATGAGATCTTTCTGGTGGATCAAAGCAAGAAAAGATTGGGCTTCTGTTACTGTCTCTGATTGGTTGATTGATCCTGCTGCATGTTTCAAAACTTGATATAGTGTGCGTGCAGTGCATAGTGTGGGGGATTTTCATTTTGTTTCTAGTATGTAAAAATAGGAGTTGGTGTTGTTTATGGGTTTGAGTACTCCTTGTACTCTATTTTTTCAATAAAACTTTTGCCGTTCAAAAAAAAAAATATA